TACTTCTAAATATGCTCAAGCCAAATGTCAAAATTTGACCTAATCCAGAAGCCATCAATATTAATGGAAACGCTCGCATTTATTGCAATGCCAGAGCTCCTTTCTGACAACACATCTGACAAAGTCTTTATTGGGCAAGACACTAGAAAAATAAAAGGCCTATTGTTTCTAGATCTTTTCTTTTTTATTGTTGATCGTAACCCTTTGCCATGCTGTTTTAAGATTACCAACTGAAACTGTTTATGTGGTTAATCAGAACAAACAGAATATTCAACTGGATCTTCAAAGATACTCTAGTCCAATTGCCTGACCTCTTCAGAACTAATCAAAAGTTAGAGCTTATTAATGAAGATTAAACAACAGAATCTCTCTCCTTAAATAATCAAAAAGGGTAGAAACTTGGTTGAGAAGCCAGACTTAGCAATATACTGGCCAGGAACATCCTTAAAATGAAAAGTGGTAAGGCTGACAGAAACACTGAAATTTGTTTCTGCCACTTTGGAACCATAGGCTGAAAGCTCTGTCACAAAGCCTACATGGAGCAGATGGGTTCGGGAAAAAAAAAAAAAGAATTGAATCAGCTGAGTAAAGTGACTTATTTCCTTACCTGAGGCAGGCCTGCAACTCTTGTTCTGATAGGACCTCAGTGAGTCTTTATAGCACTGTAATGCTCAATTCATCATCTCAGTTTAGTTCTGGCTCCAAGCTGAATGATTGCTACTAAGCAAACACATACATCTTACTTATATGACACTGCTGCAGTGAGATAAGAACACACTTGGACAACCAGTAATTACTTGGCCTACTTGCTTCACCCTTTAGTCTCTGCTAGATTGTCCTCTCAAGTGAATCGTTTATTTATCATAAGAATTAAAAAGGGAAGTGCAGAAAAAGGTATCACAAAGGTGCCCCATATTAGAGCCCCTCTCTACTACAATGTAATTTTTAATCTACACAAAAATGACTTTTAATCTATGTAGAAACAAATATTTATGTGACACAATGGAGAAAAATCTGCCATTAAACCCAGCTACAGTCTTCTCTGTCCAACCATCAGCACTTCAAGCAGAAGAAGAGTTTGAAGAACACGCTAGATATTTCAGAACTTGACAGAAATCCTTCTGTTCCTCTGCTCACTGCCCTTGAACTGCCTGTCAGAACACCAGCTATACAGAGACCCTGGCCCTCTGCAGAGGAAAATCCACACTCAGTTTACATTTGGTATCTAGTAACAGAAAGTCACCACTAACAATGTGACTATACATCAGGAATTCAATGACAAAGATAAGCTGATTTTGCAACATGGTTCCAGTTTCAGACAGCACTGATCTTAGTGGCCATGGAACACGAGACATAAACAAATACTTCCTCACCATTTCAAGCAAAGTCAACCAGATTTCCGAAGCCCATCAATAATAGCAAATACCACATAAACCAAGAGACTTTGTCACCACTGAAGTCACGAACAGGTCAGTCAGGAGGCAGGAGTATTTGAAAGGCAGACCCATCTATACCACTGCAAGCAAGATCTGAGAGAACACTTTATCTACAACAAAGCATACGAAGCAGGCTAAGACATGCAGGATATTTGGAAAAACAATCTTTGAAGGCACACAGAATCACAAAGTAGTTGAGGTTGAAAGAGATCTTTGGCAATTGTTTCATCCAGCTCCCCTGTGAAGCAAGTACAGCAAGTTTCCCAGGGCCCCACATAGCTAGGTTTTGACTATCTCCAAGGATGGATATTCTACACCCTCTCTGGGCAACCTGCTCCAATATTCAGCCTCCCTTATAGCAGAAGTGTTTTTGTTTTTCCCTCAGGCTTTAATGTAATCTACTGTGGTTTGATTCACATCCGCTTTCTCTTGCTCTTTCATTGGGCATAACTAAAAAAAAGTAAGATGTTTTTGTCTCTACAACTCTTTCCAAGTCTTCTCTGTTCCACACTAGCCAGTCTCAGCTTTCAGCATCTCTTTGATATGCGTTCCAGTCCATTAATTATCTTCATGGTCTCTTGCTAGATTCACTCCATTACCCCTATGTCTAATAGTGAGAAGCCCAGAATTGTACCCAGCACTCCAGATGCACCTCACCAAAACTCAGAGGGAAAGAATCACCTACTTTGACTTGCTGGTAACGTTTTTCACAATACAGCCCAGGTACATTGAAATTTTTGCTGCAGTGATGCACTGCTGGCTCATATTCAATCTGGTATCCATCAAGGCACTCAGGTCCTTTTTCTGCAAAGCTTTCCAACTGGTCAACCTGTAGCACGAACGTGTACATGGAATTATTTCTCCCCAGACTTGGCATTTCCCTTTGCAGAACTCTCCTTCAGATTCTTTGCTGCCCTATTTTTTTCAAGTTGTCAAAGTCCCCGTGGAAGGTGGCACAGCTCCCTTTTGCCAGCTGCTTCTCCTACTTTTGTACAACCTCCCAGCTTGTTGAGGGTACGCTCTATCCCACCATCCAGGTGATTAACAAAGATGTTAAATGATGTTGGTTGCGGTATCAGTCCCTAGAGTATACCACTCATGACTGGCCTTCAACTGGATTTCATGTTGCTGGTTGCAATTCTTTGAATCTAGCAGTTCAGTAAGTTTTCAGTTCATCTCACTATCCATTTATTTAGTCCTTATTTAATCATTTTGTCATTTTCAGCTTGCACATAGTCCTCTCCAGAAAGCAATGGCCCATTTGAAGCAATTCATTATTTTTCTTTCAATTTGCATGAATGCTTTCCTGTTGAATAATGATCTGAAAAGTATACCAGTGCCTGCCCATAGCTGCCTGCCAAAGCTTTCTGCACCCTAATGGAAGAGTGATACTCTTCACAGATAGGCTGTGTCATTATAACAGTTCTGAAGCACTTATAGTCTACTTACATTTATAAAATAATCATTGTTCAACAAGTATTTCATAAATATACTGTTACACCATTGACATTTCAACTTAAAAAAAAAAACAAATAACAATAAAAAGCCATACCACTGTTTCTTACACTAGAAAAGTAACTAAAGAAAAGAATTATCATTTATTTCCTCTTGCTGTAATGTTTCTTCCTTTTTTATTCTATTTTTAATTCCTGCAGTGGCAACAATCATTTTGCAATAGGGTTTAATCCATGGAATTGTGTTACTGTGTATATTGTTAATACTTGTCTCTTCGTGGATTACTAAATCACTGTCTCTATCAGTAAATATTTCTCAAGTGAGCTGCATCAAAATCTGCCCACAAAGATCTAATCATTAAGATACGAAACTGAAATGTTGGGGCTTTCAGTTCTGTTATAGCTATAAACTTTGGTTAAAGTGGCCAATGCCTAGTCTTCATTTATAAACTGAAAACCTTTATACTAATACTGAGAGTATTGTTTCGTATCATATTACGCATTCTCCTTCAGCTACTTTCCCATCCAAAGGGCATATTTGAGCCTCAGAGTGTTTCCAAAGTGAAAACAAAAGCCTCTGTAAAATCAACAGTTCCAGAACACAAGCGGTAAGAGAGCCTTGTAGAAACATGCTTGAAGATGGACTAGTGCAGTGTGAGTTGCGTTAGCTTTATCCATCCTGGAAGATGATTTAAACTAAGAAACTTTAAATTTACAGATTGATATTATTAACATGATACCTTAGTGTATCTACATCCCAGCATTGTAACTTACAGTAAAAAGTATGTAACAAATAGCTGAAAAGATAACTTTCTACGCCTCTTTATCCAGAGTTGTAAAAACTTGCCTCACTGTACAATATACTATCTTCTGCTTGCTTTCCTTTCACATTGTTCAAATTATACATAGAGACTCCTGCAATTTCATCTTCCATGATGGTATTTAAACATTATCTTCCCAGAACTTCAGTACAATGATAACCAAGTTATGGAAAGTGACTGTTAACATCTGCCGACAAAAGCAGCCAAAATAACCACCCTCCCACCCCCCTGTGCTCCTTCTAACATGCTGTTTAATGTAGCCCTTCTGACAATTCTAAACAGCATCTCAGATTTATTCTCATCTAAGTTATGGTTTTGATTTTAAGTTTTCTCCAGGTATGTTGTGTCTTAGTCTCCCACACACAATATTAAAGGCGCACACAAATCTTTCTATATAACAGCTTTAACACACATACCTTTTCTGAATGTTGTTTACAACTACTGTCAGTTTAGCTTTGTGAAATTCAATTGTTTATGTAGCTTTTTATCCTATGAGGTAGACTCAAAAAGACTTGTTTTACTGCACACAGTCTCCTTAAAGGAACTAGTCTTCCACAACTAGAAGTCCTGCAGATTAACACATAACCCCTATAAATCTAGCACTCTCAAACATAACATTGAATTGTGAATTGACTCCGAAGACAGGAAGGTTGATAGTTTAGGTACAAGCATAGCAAGAACACTTTTCACAAGGAAATGTGATTCAAAAGAGAGACAAAGGGAGCACAGAAATCACTTCATCACTTCCTGAAAATCTTCAGAATTGAAGATTTACATTCTGATGGACTTTCAGAAAACAAAGACAACATCAGCATGTAAGAAAAGAGTCAATATGTTACATTTTCTAAGCTCATTTTATAACATCTCTTCCATTAACTACATGAATCCTGATTAAAAAAAGAAAGGTTGGAGAAAAAAAACTTATGCTGATGACTTTTTTTTCCATAAACACAGGTTACATGCTTGACGCTAACATTAATTTGCAGAGTGAGCCTGGCTAAGGCAAGCTCATGTTTCTGGTCATCCCCACTACATGGATCTCATACAGTCTAGAAACCCATATGGGAAGCAACTATGAAGGAACTGATAAAAGTTTACAGATAAGGAGGAAAAAAGAGCAGATTAGAAAAAAACAACTTCAAAAGCTGTTTTTCAGGATTAACATAAAAAGGAATCCCTTGTAGGAAGAAACATCTGAGGATAAACTATAAGCACCAATTGAGATCTGAAATAATAACAAGGCAAATATGATGTTTATTTCAGACATGAAAGAAACATCTTGTGCTTACCAGATTATCAGTTTCTGGATCTTCACAGAAAAAGGGTTTTCCTTCTTTTTCCTGCTTCCTTACAAAATTTTCAATATCTACATCAAAACTTGCAGAAGTCGTGCCTTCCGATCCTTGTGTAGATTGTTCACATTTTTCAAATAACAGTGCTAACAAGGGAAATAGTGGGTGCCTACAATAGAAGTTCAAATAAGTATTGTCACTGCTAGTTACAATACTGAAAAGTCAGATATCTAGCTCACATAGGATAACAATCACTCCTAAGAAACAGAAGGATAAGTCTTATATGAGATTGCACATAGCACCACTGACTACAGCATGATAAAAGTTTGTTTTTCCTTTTTTCATTACCACACAACCTACAGGCAAGTAAAGAAAAAAAAATCTAAATAAACAGAACAATCACAAAACAAAGAGCTAGGAAAATATTATGTAATTTACTGTAAATGCGTGGCAACAGATACGTTAAATACAGCATGTTAGAAATAGTGATTTAGACATAAATAGAACAAATACATTTTTTTTTTTTTTTAAGTCTAAAATCATTTATTTTAGATAAAAGTCATTTATTCTTCAACGTGGGCTTTGGTTATTCATCACAAATAACTTTACGTAACTGGTGATAGTACACAGACTGTACTTGGAGGCCTCCATTTGAAGTGGTTAGGATGGCTCAGAGCAGAAGCAGCTTTTGTCAGCACAAGTCTAAAAAATGAGTGGATATGTCTTTTTTTTTTTTTAAATTAACTGTGAATTGGCAATAATTATGTATTTATAAAGCATTTAAAATGGAAGAAAAATGAAAAAAACACTTAACCTCATAAAAAGAGAACAATACTACTCAGCACAGCATTTAACACTGGAAAAAAATCTCGAATTACTGTGTTATACATCAACATTCAATCCAGTTTGAGCCAATCACTAGGCAGTAGATTGCTATCCCTAAAGAAAAGTTAGTAAAAACTAACCTAATTACAATTAAAAAAAAAAATACCCCACACTGAAGATAAAAATTATTGTATAAACTACAGTGAGCTCAACCGCCTGAACAGTATGCTAAATTGCTCTTTAAAAGCAGCCAGGTTTAGAACTTCCTTTAACCTATGCTGGATTAGAATGAATCCCATAATAAAAGGAAGGCTGCTTTTTTTTTAAAAAAAAAAAATATATTTTGGCTAAAAATAAATAGTGAATTTAAATTGATCTCCTCCTTTCCCTGCATGCTACTAAGACACACAGCCAAGAAATAATCTGTTTCTAAGCTGCATTCTATTAGTATATATTAAAAAAAAAAAAAATTCCTCTCTTCTTCACCCTTCAAAAGACAGAGCACAAGTCCATTACTACCTGTAAATGGCCTGCTTGTCTGCATCCATTGGAGTTTGAGATTCTACAGGGGCAGGACTCACCCCTTCTGCATCAGTTTCAGAGCAGTTTGGATCTTGTTCAGTTTTTAACTCTGTTACTACTTGCATCTGTAGAAAAAGGATAAGTTATTAGTAAATCTGCATGCTTGACGTAAAATAAGCATACTGTTTTCTAAGGAAATAGCAATGTAAAGGGCTACTAAATTGCCAGAAGGTTGGCATGACTTGGCGATAGCACAAGAAGCCACAGTAGGAACAAAAAACCTCTTTTAATCCTTGAGACTTTTTGATGAGTAGTGTAAAGGTCAATTTTGGTTTCAGCTCTCAGCTTTAAAAAATGGGAATGACAGATATCAGTAAATAGTTAAAGCATTTCATCTCTGAAGTGACTGTTTTTTGAGTAGGCTAGAATACATTGCTCCAAAAATTTTAGGAGGATGTCTGCATAAAAACCGTTTAGATGAAGACAACAGAAAGGAAAAGTTTCTATTCAGTGTTTCTTCTTATTCTTTACTGTATGTTATAACAAGATACTGCAGAAAAGAAAAAGTTTTTCTTGCTCATTAACATGCATATTTTCTTAAACAGAACTAAAATATTCTGTGTCCTATCAATCTCCCAGTTATCACTAGCATAAATTCCCCTGACCTGTACCACTCAAATTGACATACCAATCATTTTAAGGATATCAAGCTCCTGGAGAAAACAGCTGTAAGCACTTCTAGATATCTATTTAACAAAAATATGTAAGCAAATGTTGAGGGAAGAAAAAAAGAAAAATAAGTAAAAACTACTTTTGAATAGCAATTAAGTCACGTCTGTCAGTTTATCTAAATGCAATCCACCTCTTAATACAAAATAAACATAGATACTTCATATAGAAGTTATCAGTCTGAACTGATAGATTTACACAAGAGTTTAAAAGAACCAACCTAAATTGGTGGCCTGCAAGTAAATAGAGCAAGGAGGAACTGCAATAGTAAAGCAGGAAAGAAAAAAAAAGAAAAAAAAAATAGCAGTAATTCCCCCGAAAAGAAGCTTGAAAAAATATTTCAAGTGTTGCTGAAAAAGAACACTAAGACCTACAAATCTACCTAAATGACTAAACAACTCCACAGCCACCCTGGCAGTGTGAAATAACTCCTCACATTACCACAATTGATCCCACCTGGGGTCAACAACTGCTACCTCCCACACTGCTGCTCCATTAGCTGCAGCTGAACACTTGTCTTCCAAAGGATAGCTTTTCTGCTTCCCTATGGCTTTTTTCTGCCCATTGCCCCCACCTAAGTATCCACACATTCAACTGTTTGCTTACACTGCATGGATTGCTTTACCAGCTCTATTTCAGAGCACAGTAACACAATCTGCCACCAGTCAAAAAACAAGATACAGCCATAGCTTCTACCCAGGCCTGCATTGTGCTGGCTGGCTGGCAGTGCCTTGGAGGCCTTGCCTACATGATCGTGGTGTTACTGGTGCTGAAAATGGCCTTCCCCAACACCCCCTGTTAAGCATCTTTCAGGCTAAATCAGGTGTCTTAAAGGGAGTCATAGTCACCCCTCCATCACATTCCAAACCCCAGCTCTCTCCTCTTCTAGCACTGGCAACTTCCATAAAAAACAAGGAGTCACTGCAGCCTTTTCTGCTTTAACCCTAGGAAGTTTTGTCTGGAATAGAAGACAGGTGCTACTCTGGGTATCCCCCCATATTCAGAACTGACATCTCCAGGTACATACAGAGTGCAATCCTCTGCCCTCTTTCCCGCTTTTTATATACAGCACACCCCTGACAGGAACCCCCTGAGAGGGTTCCAGTGAAACTTTATCTGCACATGACAGAAGCATTTGCACTACCTCCAGTGAGGGTCTGAGAGAACAGAAGGGTTTATGCTTTATTACCTGTCAGGGCCACCCACCTTCAAGAAAAATAGGAAAACAGAAAGCAACAGAGTATCCAGCCCAAGACAGCATCCTGCCTTATAAAAAGCTTCCTCAGCAAGCACAGGTGATCTGAGAGCCAGAATGCTTGCAAAAATGATGTAACTAATGAACTCATTTCTTGGCTAATGACAAGAGGGAGGAGTAAAAAAGAAAGGGGTGACTCATATAAGTGATTATAAATGTTGAACCACATATCTGCAGAGTTTGAAGGTGGAGATTAGGCTCAGTGAGGGCTCTGTCTTGCCAGGAGGAGGAAATAGCTCGCTTCAAACTGAGAGCTATTTTCTGTGGGTCATTTCAATGCTACAAAAGAAGTAGGCATCAAAATTACCTGTTTATATGGTTACTGAGAGCTTAAATCATGAAACAAATCAAAAGAAAACAACCAATCTGTTCTTAACAAAAACATGTATTACTTTCACTGAAGTGTCACAGGGTGCATGTATTTGCTGAGGGAATAAAGTGAAAGGGGGTAAGGCAGGTGAGAGGAAAGAGAAATCAGAACTGCAATAAAAGCAGCAGACAACAACAACAAAAGCAATAACACAAGACTGCATTCAGATAAACATTTTTTTCTTTTATAAAATGGAAAAAGTTGCCATTTTTTTTCTTCTGTTCATCACTGTTGCCATCTGCTGACAGAAATACTTGTATTTACTGCTTAGGGCTGACTCACAGTAATATAAAGATGGGTCTTCAGGTTACAGGCCAGTGGCATGACTTGTTCCCAGCTAACAGTATTTTAGTTTAGAAATTCAAATTGTTGCAACACAGTGCCTGCTGTACAAAAAGGAACATCATGACCAAGCATAACCCACACGCTTCATTACTTCACCTGCCTCTTTGCAGAAATAAAAAACTGGAGTATCGTTGATCAACTTTCAAACCATCCATTCTTACCAATAACCTCCTTACAGCAAATAAAGAATCTTACCAGTCTCCAGCATAATTGCTTCAATTCAAACTAGCATATAATTCTAGATAACCAAATTTAATTCCTTGAAACCAAGTTGTCTATAACTGTCCGAATGTCAACTGGCTACTGTAACAGCAGACATGAAAGAACACTGAAGAATCATGAACACAAAATATTAAGGATACCCAATTTGCCTTTCCTAAAAGTAAGAACATGAAGCACACAAATCACTTAGAGCAGAATCGGAATAAAATCCCTTATATAACCATTCTGCCAGAAATTAAGCAAAGTCACAGAAAGATTAACTAAGTCTTTATCAAACATTTAAAGTATTACAGAATATTAGCTCATCACTTCAAACATTTTGTTTTACAAACAAAAATAGATACTTAAGTAATGCCAACACAGGCATTAAAGTCACAACTTCTTTCTCTTGCCAACTGTGTCAGTTCATAGAGAAAGAAAAACAATCTTACCGGTTGTCCATCTTGATAGTTGTCTATACTTAATGTCTGTGTTGCCATCATGGTTAAAAAAATGTTACTTGCATCAAATCATCATCGGTACGAACAAATACTCTAAAAAATAAAAAAAATAAAAAAATAGTGTCACAGAAGTGACCGTTTAGAACTCAACTGCAAAAGATGAAAATGGATTGAGCTGTAACATTGGAACAATCAGCAAGCTTATTGACAATAAAAGCTACGTGCATTTTCTCACCAAAATTCCATGTGGAAAACCACAACAAGCTTCAGCAGTAAAACATGGAAAGATTTTGTATTTAACATCATATTGTCAATAAGAGGATGAAGTCCTGTTACATTCATAAACTTCAAGTAAAAACTAGCATTTATTTCTGCAGTATTTAACTAATTCTAAGGTTATGCATAAAATGTGGAAAAAACAAAGATTTGTTTCTTTGTTCTCAAAAGACTAATGACACATTGAACATTCCTGTAACCAAAAACACAAAGAGACTACAACTGATGGATCATATGTAGGAAGTGTTAAGCAACACCAATTTACTTACGAGCATGAATCTTATACTCTAAACTTAGAGCCTGAAATTTATTTTAGAAACCTGTATCTGAAAGCACTTCTGAAGTAAGAAATCTCCTACTGAAGTTAAGCAAGGCTCAGCAAAGACTAGAACAAATTCTAACTATTTTTAAACAATTGGGCCTATGAAATTACATATTTTCAAAAGGGACTTCAGAATTCAGAAGTATCATTTTCTCTATCATTTAATACTTTGGGAAATAATCATTTGCATGTGATTTATGACACAAGTCAATTCATGTCTGGCATTCCCTTCAAGCATTAGTTGGAGTCTGCTACCCAGAGGAGTTCAAAAATCAAAAAAAAGACAATATTTAGTATATCATCAACACCAGATAGAGTTATTCGTCACACTATTAGTTTTACTTTTCACTTCCTTGTCAAATTAGCAGGCACTACAATAAAAATCACAAAATTCAAGAAGGCATTAACATTAAATATCACCATAGAACTCAATTTTCCTTGACCTGTAGGAGTCCTAATGGTTAGCCAGTATAAAAATATTGATTTTAGAGAGGAAAAAACAAAAACAGAGCTCATGTTTTGAAGAAGATTACAGGTCCAGTTTTTGTCCTCTCTTCTACTTATCTCAGTATTGAAGAATGAGATACAAGAATTTTCACCATCTTAAGATCTGAAATGGAAACTATTTTCTTTGTAACAGGTCCAATGACTACAAATTTTTCAACTGTTTTCAAATCTTTCCTTCACCTTGGCACAGTACTAAAATATACAACCATTTTGAAGAGTAATTTCTACAGTTTCAGATATTTTTCCCTGTAGATCACAACAGTCACAAGTACGGGTTTAATTCAGAAACACGGGGCAAGTTTCAGAATTCCCTTCCTCATTTACTTCACTGTTTCAGGCACAGAGATGGATCATAACTCCTCAGGACAAACCTCCATCCTTACTCTGCACCAAGTTCTACTCAAAGTGGAATTTATTTGATTATTTATTTATTGAAAACCAGCTCTGAAGACCAGAGGAGCTTATCACAATCCAGTAGGCACGACTCCCTATCCAAACTCAGATATAGATTCACTCACTATGGTTCAAGTCCCACAGCTGCCCTGTGGCAGCCTGTGCCACCTGAGGTGCAGGCCGTACTCCTGGCTCTGGGTGATGGTGTAGCTGCACACGTTTCCATCTGCAGGCAGCAGGTGCACACCATCTTCAGCAGCTTGTGGAATGGGAAGAGACATGCTACAACTGCTACTACAGCTATTCTTAAGAATAAAGATGACAGAAAAAAAGAGTAAAGACTGGTTTTATTTTTCTGGTAGCTGCAGTGCAAGTGTTTGCTGGTTTGGTGGCAGCAAACATCTGGTAGGAGCGGGATTCTCTGAAGAGTTTTGGTTCACACAGCAAAGTTGTACAACTACAAGCCAGAAACGTCACACAGCAATATCCTAACACACTGATGTTTGAGTGTATTTTTAGCATACACCAAAAATACGGGTTTAACACGTGAAGTAAAGCACCTCTAGCCAAAATGTTAATATTCTACTTCTTTTACTTTTTGTTTACACAAATGGTGCTGGAGAACTAACTTTCTCTTGCACAGCTTTACTGTGTTTCCTTATAACAAATACTTAGCTGTATCACTAATAAAGAATGAAAAACCATCAACTGAACAAAACCTCCAATCCCTGTAAGCCCTATCTTCACTTTGATACTAACACAAAGAATACTTTTTTGGATTTTAATAAAAGTATTATGAAAACAAACTTTAGACTAATACAACAGCCTACCAGTATCATCCCCCCACCATTTGCTTTTGGGTGACAGAGGGTTCAACACACATCACATCAAGGAAGAGACATCATAATCTTACATTTTTGAGTTACAAAGCTCCTTTTAACTCACCCAAACAACTGGGTGATCTTTCTTGCATTTTCTAATAACATTTGTTCTTCTATCTTTAACATGCAATGCTCTTTTCCAACTATTTGACTTACAGCTTCCTCTCTTCTGTATTTGCTTTCTAAAACATGAAACATTATAACAAAGAATAACTTAAGAAAAACTTGAATTCTACTTTTTATTAGCTAAACCCACATTACAAAATACCTTACTGTACTGATCTACTTTCTCAAATACTACTCTATGCTTTAGCTTAGCAATACAACATATCGTACAATTATTTACATCACGTGAATTCTTATTAATAGTATTTCATATTCATAAATAAGACTTCATGTGCAGTGCCAAAATTTGAACTTCTGCTATTGCATAGTCAGGTGATAATTACTCATATATAACTACACAAGCTCTACTCTACTTCCAGCTTTCACATAGTTGGCATTAATACTAACAATTAAACAATGAGAAGGCCAATCACAAAGAAGGCTCCAGACAAAAAAGGAAAAGTAAATCAACATTTCCTCCTCATATACTATTCCTTTTCAAAACAGAAGGCAGAAAAAATGTTCCTACTTTATGTAAACACTGCACTGAAAAAAAAAAAAATCCAATAAAAGAGGAGGAAATAAAGGATTGCAAAGAACAGAGACCTTCCTAAATGAACCATCACTTACTATTTTGAGATTTAGATTAAAAAACCCAAAAGCACAACAAATTACCAACACAAAAAAACCAAATCAACCAACCGAAGAAACCCCAACCAACCAAAGAAACAAACAAAAACCCTGGAGTTCTTTTAATATTTCTAACCCAAACATCAAATAACATCAATGTCACTTACCCCCTTACTATTACACAGTAGAACCAAAAAGAACAAGAAACACTTCAAATTTCATGCTACATTTACTTAGTTTTATAACTTAAATCTCACCTGAGCTTTCAGTTTTCATAGGCCAACAATATTTATTACTTTGAAACTCTGAAAATAATACTAATTTCTCATCAAAAGAAAAAAAATGGGAAAGACATGAACACACTCACTGATAGAAATACTTCAGAATTGCTTTTTTATAGCTATTAATCATTCAACATTAAAGTTGAATCAGATATCTAAACGTTGATGCCTTTCCAAAAGAACTTTAAGGAAACATATTCTAAAATATAAGTGCTGTGAGCAATTACCTTGTGTTTAAACACTTAGTTTTTCAGAATAGCTTACAGCCACAATATTGATGAGTGACTGTATTGACAGAGTCAAAAGGCACAAAGTCCTACTTTTTTATCCATAAAGGTGCACATTTCATTACTGACTGTCATACCAGAAGCAGAGATGAGGCTATCCTCAACATCAAAACGTCCAAACAGATCACACTCATCAATCTATAAATAGTAACCACTATTTCAAGATTATTTTAAGTTGAAAAATTCCTTGCAAAATGTCACTAAATAAATTGTTTGGCTATGGGAGACAGATAAGCTCTTAGAAATGAGGAAATAAGGTAAAACATTTTAAGAAAAGTACCTTTGAAATGTGCTAGAGTTAGCAAAGATGTGAGATAATATCACAACACAAATAACAACATGAAAATGGAAGCAACAAAGATAACACATTCAAACTGGTGAAGACAATAGGATATGATAAGAATTTCTAGACTGACTCTTCCTTCCACATTTCCATAAGGAAAAGATATTCCACAC